TCTTTTCCTATTTCTGTATGATTTTGGGTAAACCTAAGGATTTTTGCTGTTATTTTAGATTTTTTTTTTTACATAGTATAGTTTATCTGGCCTTATCCTGGTTGCAGAAGCATAACAGCCTCTGCACTTATTCTTATCCAGTAATAATCCTAAAAGTCTTGATGATGCCAAGTGTTTGGTTGAGAATCTCCTTGACACTATCAGTGTAGAGTTTGGTGCATCCAGGTAATCGGGTTTCTATTCTGTTGATGGGTGGTGACTGTAATTTTCTAATCTCATTGTAATTCCAAGTCTGGTTTTTTGTCATTTAGAGTGGAGTAACGTGTTTCTTTCCACCCATTTTAGGACTTCATCAAGTAAGGTTTATGGTGCAGTTCCACCTCCAACGCATTTGTTGACTGGAATTCAAAGTTCTGCAAGTGAGCAAAATGTGCATGCTAGTTCAGCTTCTGGTTTGACATCAATACCAGTCACTCCAGCTCCTGTTACAGTCCCTGGGGTCACTGCTGGCTATTTGCAGGGGATGGTTGGGGGGATGCCTAACTCTGGGCCAACCCACGCAAATTCAGTTGGTTACCCACAGCCTTTGGTGACTAGAGGGACAAGCTATATTGGATATGGTGGGATATACCCCCAAGCCACACCATTGCAACAGGTAGCTTTAGCTCTTAGACAATCATCTTCAATCTCCTCTACTGTTGTACCTGCAACACCTGTAGCAAGCACAGTTGTTCCTACAACCTCAGCTACCAGCACAGTATCCAAATCAAGTGTTGGCTCTACTTTACATTCTGAGAAGGAGCAACGGCCTCCACAAAAATGGAAGTTCCAGGAGTTACCAGCTGGTTCAAAGGGCCCTGCAAGATCCAACCAGGTATCGGTGCATTATCCTGCTAGTTTCCCTTCAAGCGAAGCTATGAGGTATAAGACTTTATATTAGGCTAAAGGGTCAAAGAAGCCCTTGAACAAAAATTCAACCTATCATTTTCATCAATTCAGCCCTTTTTAGAAGAAAATTGGTTGACCGTCAACACCCATTTTCATCTACTAGAATGCTCAATTGGGGTGGAAATAGATGTTTAAGTGTTTAACTTATCTAAAATGGAAAATTTAGGGCTTGATTGATTGTAATAAAATGTTGGGACTTGAATGATTACTTAATTTTTGTTCAAGATCTTTTTTGACCCTTTTGCCTTTATATTATTTGCATGCAATAATGGCCAACAGTAGTAAATGGAATTAAAGACAGACAAAGTCCTTACTCCAATCTGGCTTTTTGGTTCAACATAGTGGACCAATTCTGGTTCATGGCAGTGTGGTCTAACATTCATTTAGAAATCCTGGGCCAAAAAGCATTACCTCTCTCAATTTCTCTCAGTGATTTTTGGGAAGGGGGTGGGACTCTAGAATTTGGGCTTGTCTACTAAGAAAAATTATGTTTATTTAGTGCTGACTGATTCCTCAAAAGTAAATATTGACTATAAATATTTTAGAGCCATTTGTGATGAGGGTAGAATTGAAGATAGCTATCCATGGGAGCTTTTTGGTGAATTGTACTTAATAAGAGTTCCTTGAAGACATTCTGGCCTATGCTAGAGTGCCTATCTCTACTTGATAAATGTTGTTAATGCAATTAGAATGGTGATATCTAAGTTTATACTTGCTTTGATTAATTTTCACAGTTAGAGCCACTTTTATCTTATTATGGTGAATGGTATTTTACTTAACTTTATACTTCAGTTAAAGAAATATGTTATTTACTAGCAATGGATGGAACCATTTTATTTGGACAAGTAGAAGTATATTTATGAATGGAGGCATTTCCAAGTAATTTAGTTAGAATGGCCATGTTAGAGTCCATGTGGTAGAAATTGAATAATGATTGCTGCTATAGTTAATGTAATGGGGAATGTAAAGGATAGTAATTCCGTCTTTTATCTAATGTAATTCTTCAACTTCACTTTTAACTCTCTCAATCCTGCGTGTTAGTTCCCAAGTCAATCAGGATTTCTTTGTCTGCGTGTGGCCATGCATGATATTATGATTGCAATTCTCTATTCTGTTGACTCATTTTGGTACATGAGCCCTAATATGTTTATGGATCCACCACCCTTATCTCCCTTCCTCCTGTTTCACCCCCCTGAATAGGAAAAAAAACCTTACTCATAGAAAAATGGGAAATCTTTGCTAGTTAATGTGATTAGATGTAATTCTTTGCATTGATGCTATTGGATTTATGATTATATTTTTCTGCTTACTTTCTCTGCTTATCATTCCAGGTATTTTCTCTGACCTTCTAAGAAGCTAATAGGCTGATACCGGACCTCTGTTAGGGCCATTGGTTTGTATGTTTCACAGGATTTTCAGTTTCAAAGGAGCAATTTGATGAGTCCTTCTTCAAAACCATGATCAGGGACCATTTCAAGATTTTTTACACATTGATTAGGTGTATAGCTTTTTAACATGAATTTCGCATTTCTAGTGCGGTGTCTTCCATGGTTTTGCATTCTAGAATGTGCAGCAGAAGTTTCATTTAAAGGCTCTTTGGTGTCGACATGGTTTAGCATTTTGTTTAGGATCACTTTAAAGCTAAGGTTCCAACTGAAAATGCATGAAATAGATTACAAGAAGTACATAAGCCAACTATCAACAAGAATTGCATAGCCTCTTTCTGACAACAAATTTTCAGCCACCGCAACAGTTATTAGTTGAGAGTGACACTGTACTTGATATTCTGGCATATTTTCTTGCATCTTGCCCACAAGCTACCTTAGTTCTTGATTTGAAAATATCAGGCTCAATTTTTGGCTTATATCGATGTTATTGAAGACACCAAGGTGAAATTAACTAACTAAATCATGCCCTTACAATAAAATTCCATGTCATTTTTTTTCTCACATATGACCTTTATAAAGATTCTGTTGTACCTTCGAAATTTTAACAATTTTTTTCCAGATGTTTCCCATTAACTGTTATCTTACTCTTATTGAGAAATTAGGCTTGGATTATTTCTGTCTAACTCATTTCAGGAATCCCAATCTTTAAATCCAAGCAAGCCTTTGGAAGATTTAAGGGTGAAAAATGTATCAACTATGCCTGCTCCAAAGAAGTTGGTTCATCCGTCATCTAATGGAATGCCAGCACCACCTCCAAGAACCATGCTGCCTCCACCACCTCGACGTAAGTTCACTTCATCAACATCATCATGACAAGAACAAAGTTACTAGTAAAGCTAAAATTGATGCTGTCCCTGGTGGGAATGGATCCCTAAACTGTCTATTTTAAAAGTTTCTGGTGCTAAATTCGCTTCCCTATCATGAATGATCCTGTGATATTGACTAAAATCCAGTAGCTGATTTCTTCCAATAGAATGTATAACTTTATATTACTTATCTAAATTGATTGGTTGTTTCAGACACCTTGGTCCAGTTAATGGCATATGGGGATGAAGATGATGATTCTGAGGAAAGCAGTGATGAATCCTTAAATAGAAACTCCGATGCAGATGCAATTCGAAAACCATTCTGGGCTTTGTGACTCATCAATTGCTTAAGCTGCTGAATATTAGGCAAATAAGCAGGAATTGCTCTTTTCAGAGGCTGAATTAGGCAATACTATGGATGCTGTTAAGTGCATATCAAGTCTGTGGTTTATTTGTTTCTGTTAAGATTGCGGCTTGTCGAGTCCTTCTCGAGCATCAACAAGGTGAAGTAACTCCAAATTATTGCAGTGAGACTACTCATCTCTGCAGCGTTTAAAGTTCTGATTCTGATAGAACTGTGTTTTATTGTATATTGGATGCAATTTGCTACAAGTGTCTCGGTGAAATCTGCAAATCTTTAGGTAGTTGCATTCTTCTGGAAGATTAACTACTCTCAGGCTGTCAGTGGAAATAGCTTAACCCTATAAATTCTTTTCAGTGGCCAGGATACTAATGAATACTAACATTTTAATGTGTCAAAAAATATACCAATTTTCCTTGTTTAAATTTTAGTTTTTTTAATTATAAACTTTTATTGTTTAAGCTTTCATTTTCTTTCTACTTTTCAACCAAAAAAAAATGGATTTAATCTTAGATAAACTATTGAAAATCAACCTAATTTCAATGACAATTAAAAAAAACATATTGAAATGTCTCAGAGCTGTTGGCTCGTGTATCAAGAATTTTTTTCGCAATGAGTTGCTGTAATCTAAGAGTAAGTTTTTCGACTGAAATATAAGGATTTAGGGCCATAAAGGAGGTCAAAAGAATATAGGGGGATTTGTTGTTTTTCCTTTTTGGAGGAACAAGGCTGTGGGAAAAAGTGGGTAAATTTCAGATTTGAAGGAGAAGTCTGAAGGAGAAGATATTATATCTCAAAGTCTAAATGTTGAAAGGAGAAGTGAAAATGGATGGAAGAGAAGACCCACTATGTTACCACAAGAGCAATCTAATTGCTTCAATCAAATGGTTCAATGCTCCTGCCCGTATATGCTGTGCCTTTGGCCTAAGTCAAATTCTAAATGCCTACGTTTGTGAATACCAAAAATTAGGATACACTGTCTTGAAAATTCAACCAACCACTGGTTGCTATGAAAAAATTGAAAGTTGAGAAAGTCAAGTCTCTTTTAGATGTCAGGTTCTTTTAAGGTGGACAGGTAACAGATGCGAGGTCTTTCTTGTTAATATCACTTGCCTCAAGTGACTGTGATGGGCTAACTAGAAACTTTAATGATATAAATATATGACACTATTCAATGTTTGATCCCCAAGTTGGCTTGGAATTCTAGTTGCCATCCTTATCCTATGCCATGAATTTCCTGACAGATATGAGACCCCTCCAAGTTGAATTCAATTTCTAAATTTGGTTGAACGACCTTCATTTTGAGCCAATACCAAGACTTTCCATTGTGCCATCAGGAAAGTATTGCAGCAACTGACAAATATGGACCTGATCACCGCCCATCTTAATGAGTTTTAGCAGTTTCATTGCGGATCTGATAATCTTTGATGTACATCATACTTATTACACTTATAGTTACAGCAAAGCAGTATGGCAATGGAGTTGTACCAGTGAATCCAATCGAGTTTTATCAATACAAGAATGAGATTACAAACAGGGAAATCATTTTGGAAGCTAACTGAGAAAGAGAGAGACACTTTTAACAGGTTGGCATTGCCTTAATTCACCTGTTTATTGATCAAACTAAAAAGCTAAAATTACAACAGAAGCCTTTCATCAGTAAAAGATACCTACTTTGCTATCATAGTTTCACCTCCTATGGGGATTATGCATTGATTTTTGGGATCCCTCAAAGAGGTCCAACAAGTAATCCTGCAGATCTTCAGCATTGTACTTGATGTGTTTCTCACTAATGTGGTACAATTGTCTTCCAACAAATGTACGATAAGCCTGGATTACTTTCAGGGATGTTGAAATCCGTAAATCTTCTCGAAGCTGAACGTCTGGGATAACCCATGCAGTCTGTGTTTTATAAACCTCTTCGAAAGCAACATAAAAGCTACGCAATCTCTCCTTCAGAAGTGTCTTTGAAATAGAATTGGAACTGGAATTGCCCTCGTCCTTTAATAAAGACAGAATTGAACTCCAAGTAGCTCTCTCATAGTCCATTGCATGCTGTTGAAATTTCCAATTGTGCTTTCGAATCCACTTATCTCCAAATATAAGCCTGAGTTCTGAATTTTTGACCTTTTGAGTCACGTAATGTATATTGTTCATCAAAAACAAGTGTTGCAAGGAAGCATCCCTGTATAATTTGGATTTCTCATAGAGGTTTGCTTCTAGAATAGAAGTGAGTGATTGGAGGTAGAGTGCCATTGGAGAAAAACAGCCCGAGAAATCTCTACCAAAGCTTTCCTCCTCTTTAGCTGGAATCATGTCAGGGATAGCAGCCAATCCATCTTGATTCTTGAGGAGTAAATTTAGGGTATCCCTATAGTCTGCAAGAAGCCGCATGTAATTCATGACATATCTGGTCAGATGGTGAATTGCCCCTCCTGCAAAAGGGCTTGTTGATGTGTTTGACGCAATGGCATTCTCAAATTCAAGAAATGTTGCTCTTACAGAATCAGCTAATCTCTTCAAAACCTCATGATACTCAAGTCTAACAGAAGAACCAGCCTCACTCAAAAACAATGCATCAATGTCAGGAAGAAGATCTGCAAGCACCTCATACATGTCTAGAATTCGAACTAGCCTTTCTGGTTGATGAGAGCCAATTGAGATGGCCTCAGCAAAGTTCAGAAGCTGCAGCATTGAAGCCTTTGCCGCCTCAACAAAACATACAAAATTGGCTGATCCAAGCTCTGCAAAAATCTGGTCGCAGAGCCACTTCTCGCTGGCAAGATAGGGCCGCACAAAGACCTTCATAGCTCTAACCCATCTCTTGATTTTGGAATTCAAGGCACCCCACTCCATCTTGAGCACGTCTTCAATGCTCAATTTCTCCATTTCAAGATTGACGAGGCACTCATCCAATGCATCCTTTCGAACAATGACGTAGGCCTGGCAACACTCGTGTTCATAATTTGACATGAACATCAAATTGGCAATGCATTTGAGATCAGGAATCACAGCTGGATGAACCAAATCAATGATATAATCCTCTGCGGTTCTGCTGATGCTATCTCTGTGGGTTGATTCCTCAAAAGAGTCATCTCCAAAAGAAACTATTGAGCCCACATCGACAGCATCATCCTCACTCGATCGAAATGACATGTGCTCGGGCTCAATGGGTTGCCTATGCTGAACAAGCACGTGTTTAAACTCTGCCTCCAACCTTTGCATTGCCATCTGAAGAGCATCATGAGCCCTACGCAACAACTCTTTCTCTTCTTCACTATTCAAACACTGATTCTCTAATCTCTCAGTCAACTTTCGAGCTTCATCTACAGCTTTCAGATATTCAACAGCTTCATCCGGACCTGAGTCCCAAATCATAGACTCATCTGCCTCCCAACTCATAATCTTCTCCTGAACAGCACTCAACTGCTCTTCAATCCCACTTTTCCCACCCTCAACCATGTTATCCTCAATTGTAGCCATACTAGACAATTGGCTACCAAGATCGGCCAAAATTTTCTTCACATCTTCTGTAAGGTTAGTATTGGATCCCAATGCTCTCACTATATGTTTTGCCGCAGCAATTAAATTTTCCTCTCCTTCTAATTGCGGAGCCACAGATTCATAGCCCTCCATGGCCATAACCAAAACCACAACAGCTCAAAAAGAAGCTCAACTAAAAGTTCTTTCTCCAAATCAAACTCTCTCTATACAGATACAAAGAATTGAATCCCCAAACTGCTTAAACTAACTAGATCAGAAGTTCAAGCTATTGAATCAATATATTGATAAGAATGGAAACTTTAAACAACATCCAAACAAAGGAAAGGACATAAAAATCACAAGAAACAACAAAACAGATCAAACTTGATCTAAGAAACAAGACAAAAACAAGCAAAAATCTAAACTACCCACTCTTTCTAAAGACTCGATCTTTTGAAACAAGGCACCAGAGGAAGGAAATGCTCCAACTCACAATAAGACATAAGACCATATATATATATATATCCATCAACTAACTTCAAAAACAAAGAAGCTGAAGATATGTAAGAAAACTATCAAAAAAAGAAAACTTTTTGCAGCATGACAAGTCAAAAGAGAAGAAGTCTTTTTGACTGTTATTAAAGTACAAAGGAAGAAAAGAATAAAAAAAAATCTAAACTACCCTTGAAATTTGCAGCAGATTCATTTGCATGACTTTTAGAAAATATTTTTTAAGAAATATTTATATTTCAAAAAAAATTTTTTTGTTATTTGGATGAATTAATGAATAATATTTTCTTGTTATTTGAAAAATCTATATTCTTTTAAAATAATATTAATATAATTATTAAAATATTAAAAATTATTTATTGTTGAAATATATTAAAATTATTTATTATTCAAATTATTAATATTAAAATATTATATTAATATAAAAATACTTTAAATAAAACTATTTATTTTTATATTAATATTTTAAAATATTTAAAATAGTATTACTATTCTTAAAATATTATTTTTATTAATATTCAAATAGTAATATTTATTATTAAGATATTTATACTATTAAAATAGTTATATTTTATATTGAAAATATCTATTATTAAATCATAACAAAAATATTTTGTATTTATATTTATTATTAAACTAATAATATAAATAACTTAATAAGTAAAAATACAAAATTATATATATTTTAATCTAAAAAATAATAAGAAATTATTTAAAATATTCCTATTTAAAAAATAATATTATTATATTATTTAACATATTATTACAATAATAAAAATTTATTATATATTATTTATTATTAAAATAACAATATAATAGTATTTATTATTGTAATACTAAAAATATTTATGTTTAATGGTATACAAAATTAAAATATAAAAAACTTTTAATGTTAATATTTTAATATTTTAATTAAAATTAAATAAAATATTTTTATTAATATAATAATATTTTAAATTAAATCAAATCAAGTTTGAACTTAAAATATTATGTTTAAAGTTTTACTTGAGTAAAATTATAAAAATATTTAAAATTAAAATATTAAAGATTAATTTTTTATATAAAATTAAATAAAAATATTATTTATTAATATAATAATATATAATAATATTTTTAGTCCAATCAAGTTAAATTTTAATTTCAAAAAAATCATGTATAAAATTTAACTTGAATAAAATTATATTTAAATATATTGATAAATAATTTTATTCATAAATAGCTCTTCTCTTAAAATTATCTTTCTGTTTTTACTCAAGTAAAATTTTAAAAATAATATTTTAAATTTGAACTTAATTTGATAAAATAAAATAAAATTATTTATAAATAATTTTAAAAAAATTATCTTATTTTTTAATTAAATAAATATCTAAAAATATAAAAATTATTTTTTACGAAACGAGCCTTACAATTTTTTAAGCTTAATCTCCATTCTTATTATTTTTTCTTTGCGAGTTTGCAACTTTTCAAGTCATTGGTTACAGCTGTTTCGTTTTTGTTTCCTCGCCAAGTTCGTGGGCTTGTGGCTTTGACTAGTTTTGCCTACGCGGAAAAGGAGAAAAAAACGGCAAAAATAAAAAATAATTATCTGATGTGAATATATAAATATTTTATCTGACATTTTGTTTTGGTGGTTTGACTAGTTTTGTCTACGCGGAGGCGGAAGAAAAGGAGAAAAAAAAAAGCAAAAATAAAAAATAATTATCTCATGTGAATTTACAAATATTTTATCTGACTTTTTTTTTTTTGGTGGTTTGCTTTGGCTGACTTTTTGCTCTAGTCACAATAAAGTAAAAGTCTTTTTCCTTTGTTCCAAATGATCATTTCCTTGAATTGTGAGTATTTATTTTTTACGGGGCTTTCAAACGCATCGTCCAAAATTTTTTATACACTCTCAAATTTTTAAAAAAATTTATGTATTAAATATCAAAATTTTTTTAATAAATTACGCTTTGACTCTTATACATTCTGTATACCCATTTTTGTCTTTTTTTTATAATTATAGGAAATGAATTTTTGAAAAATTTTAAGATTTCTCAAAAATAAATTTTTAAAAAATTTTAGGATGTTTTAAAAATAAATTTTCGAGAAGTTTTAGGGTTTTGAATTATTGAAAAATTTTAAGACTTCTTGAAAATTAATTTTTGAAAAAATTTAAAATTTTTTATAAATTAATTTTTGAAAAGCTCAAATACTTCTCAAAATTTTGAGAAACTTTTAAATTTTTAGATTTTTAAAAAATTTTAAGTATTCTCCAAAATAGATTTTTGAAAAGTCTTTAGGTTCGATTTTACTTAAATTTTATCGTAAATCTTAATTTATATTCACATGCATTTTATTCAAATTTTAACCAAATCAATTAAAAATAAATTAAAAAATTTATCTTTAATCAATGTAAAACACAAAAATACAAGCGATTTGAGGTTATTTTGATGGATTTAGGATTTTCTTCTAGATTGAAAGTGAAGAGAGAAAAAAAGAGAATGAAGGAGTAAATTGGTAGGAAAGAAAAAATAAAAAGTGAGGAGTATGGTATATTTAGTAAAAGTAAAAAATTTAATTTAAAATTTAGGATGTATTTAGTACTGAAGTGCATAGAAAAAAAAAAGATTGTAATTAAAATTCTCCATTTCTTATTTGTCCTTTTCTTTTTGGTTTTTTATTTATTTTTTGAATTGTGTTTGATAAATTATTTAAAATTTTTAAATAATTAAAATTTTATTTTTAATATGTTTGATAAATTATTTTTAAAAATTATTTAATGAAAATGTTTTAATTACAAAAGTGTTTAAAATATTACATAGCTTCTAGCAACTTTAAGTCAATTTTATTTATGAAAAGAATTTTATTTAATTACATTAATCATATTTTTTTCCTTTTAATTACTTGTTCTTTGCTTTTTAACTTTTACCAATTAATTAGAAATCGTATTTATCTTTGACAAAAATTAATTAAAATTTTATTAAACATTTAATTTTTTGTAACACACTAAACAACTTTTATATTATAAATTCAATAATTAAAATTTTACTACAATACTTAATTTTTTTTTGGTGTTTAATTTGTTTATTTTATTAAACATCCTCAAATTACTACAACTAGTTAATTTTTCTACACATTGTTAGATTTTTTTAATGAAAGAAAAAACCATGTGTTCAAAAATAATTGAGTAGACATACTTTTTACAATAATTTTATTTTGTCAAATTATATATACTAGTTTTAAACATTTAAGCTTATTCTTATTGAAAAACTTGAGAAGATTTTATTAATTTTTTTTTTTTTAAAGTTGGGTTCGTTTGGAGATGTTTTCTTTTTGTGTTTTATGTTTTTGTTTTTGTTTTTTTAGAATAAAAATAAAATTATGTTTGATAGGTTGTTTTGTTTATAGAATTGAAAATTATTGTAAGTTAAAAAAAAAATAATGTTTTTAATATTTTAAAAATATTTTTATCACTGTTATTGCACGGGAAACAATAACCCATGCCCTCAACCACTTCTCTACGTGGTTTTAAAGCATTATTACTAATTTCTCTATGTGGATGAATTATTACTAATTTCTTGTTTTGAAAAAAAAATCTGTTGATGAAGAATATTTATTTTTTATTTCCCTAAAGTTTAAAACATGCCTTAAAATTTAATTTTTTTCAAAAGAAAATCATTTTCCCTATATATAAATTTCAAAGTCTAAATATCTTTGGACATGTTGGAAATGATTGATGATGAAGGTCATTTTTCTATTGAAAGTTCTAAGTAGACTAAGGGCTTGGTATAGTCAAAACTTTACCACAAAACATATTTTGTTTGATTTCAACTCTCCCAACCATTTTTTTTTATCTAATTTACCAATTACTTTTTTTGGAAGAATTTTGAACGATTATAAATTTTACCCATTCATCTCAAAATTTGAATGCAAAATTTTATAAAATTTTAGTCCAAATAGTTGAAACAGGCTTTTAAAAAATAATACGATAAAAAAGAGTAGGCTTTTGCAATGAAAGTGGACCAGAGTTTCAAACCAGCTGGATTGGTGGGGGCTTTGCTGGTGGTGAGCAAGTGTTCCATCAAAATTGGTGAACTTTTAGGATTAAATTTAATTGGGACAAAGTCTTAAATTTGAATTCGTGACTTTTTTTTGGTTTTTGAATTTGTGAGTTTTATCATTGAAATGAAAAGTTTAATATTTTTTTTTATAATATGAACAAATCAAATTTTTTTTATGTAAGGGGTTTTTAAGAATAACTTTTTGATCCGTTTTGATGTTATTTATTTAGTCCTTAAACTAATCTAATCTAATCTAATGACACTGGCCATTGCTGCTTTTTCCTTATATCTTTTTTAAGTTTTATATATAAAAATGATAATGATTCAATTTGGATTCGATTTAATTTGATTTTTTTGAATATTATATAATATTATAAAAATTTAAAATTTAATTCGAATTCAATCGAATTGAACTTTCATTCGATTCGAATTGAATCGAATTTTATCGATTCGATTCATTTCGATTTTTTTTATTTTTTTATATATTATTTTAATATAAAATTTTAATATACTTAAGTACATTTTGATATAAAATTATTATTTTATTTTATAAAAATTTAAAATATATATATAATTTTATTCGATTTAATTTTTTTCGATTTTAAATTTTTTGATTTGAACCTAATATATATATATATATATTTATTTAATATTTGAATTTGATCAAAACCAAATAAAAAAATGATCTGAATCAAAATAAATATTAAGATTTTAAATTTATTTTTGAAAATTCGAATTTTCTTTCTCATCTCCACTTATATAAATATATATATGTATATTAATACATATATATATATATATAAATATATCATGGTCAACATTGCATTTTTCAAGTCCTTATGTCCTCTGTCTTTTTTCTATTTACCTCTTATTTTTTATTTATTTTTACAAGGATGGTTCAACTTATACTATAATGAAATGATTGGAATATTTTTTTTTATAGTAATGAATTCATATAATCATCACATATAATAGTAAAGTTGAAATGCTTAATTAAAGTTTAAAATGTATATAATATAAAATAAAAATTTTAAAATAAAGTTTCAAAAGAGAATGAATGTAAGTCTGTCTATTTTGATTATTTTATTTAAAAGTTTCTTTATCACATCATCATCTTCGTTGACTTTTCTTTTGATATTTT